CATCGTACGACATGGAAATACTCATGCAACACTCGTTCGGGGTCTTACGAGTGCGTGCAAAGTCGCACAACACTCGTACTACCTGTCGTGCAATTATTTTTTATCGCGTCAGTCGCTCAAAATATCGGAGCAGCACGGTTTTTTTTCCCGACCGAGATGCGACCATTTTGTCGCATCTGGATCGTACAATAAGTGGTACAACGGCTACAACGAGTCGTACAACGGGAAAAATTTCGAGTCGCAAACCGTTGTAGTCTGTTTGGCACCAATTGTGAAAGGGGCTTTACAAACAATCAAAATGTCAAACGATAGAGCCTACCTCTCAAGTTCTATGTAACACTGCCATCATACCACGATTACATTCTGGTGTGACTATGCCCTCTAGTGGTAGAATAGCCTGTAAATTACTATTTGTTTATGAACCAATATAACGATAAAACTAAGTTTAAAATTCTTACAAACAATCAAAATGTCAAACGATAGAACCTACCTCTCAAGCTCTATGTAACACTGCCATCATATCACAATAACATTCTGGTGTGACTATGCCCTCTAGTGGTAGAATAGCCTGTAAATTACTATTTGTTTATGAACCAATACAACGATAAAACTAAGTCAAAATGCAGGAAATAGCGTTTCGGAGAGTCTAGATTTCAAAAATGTTTCGGGGAGCATGCCCTGGACCCCGCTAGTAACGGTGCGCCTTAGGCGCGAGGGGTGCAAATTTCGTGCCGCCTCTGCAGAAATTTCAAATGTTAATACGCGCGAAGACTCGTCTCTGGTTCGAATTCGGATGAAAATATGCCACATTTAGAGCCCCAGGACACAGTCAGCTGGCTCACAAGTGATAATAAAATAAAGGCGATATTTACTCTATGTGGGCCGCCATCTTGAATACGGCATGAAACTAAATAAAGAGACAAGTTGTGAAACGTGTTTTCAGATCCCTACAAATCTGGAAAAGTACCATTCTTTTACAGCCAAACGATCCGTTGATGGTAATATTAAGCCAGCCGCCAAATATTAATCCAAAATTCGGCCGAATTCATTGTTTTTCTGTCGAAAAATCTATTGCATATTAACACCTAATTACACAAAGAACATAGAACACTTTCCCGCCAGGTGACTGTGCCCAATGACACCCAAATAAAGCTGTATGCAAGATCTCCGAATTCACTTTCGAACCACTATAATAAATGAACAGTACAAATGCAAAGAAATATTGTTTTATTACTTTTAAAAACCAAAATTATACAAAAAAGTGTCGCCAGTGCGCACGACGTCTTTTATTTTATTTTATTTGAATATGAATATATATATATACAGTGTACGTGCATAAAAATCACGTGGTAGAACAAAACAAAACGTGGACGGTAACGAAGAGACGTCTGTACGTCATAGTGGTCAAATCACTACAGTCATGGAATGTTCATTTCACAGCGGGTATCAATGTCATATTTCTTTTGTATTATATATTCACTCGTTTTGGATGAATCTTATGCCCGGGGATCAAACACACTCAACGAAATTGACATCACTGGGCGTGAATTCTGCGTACATCTACATTGCCATGCAGTCGGCAATTTTATACATGTTGTTGCTACTTTTGCTGCTGCTACGAATTTCAATCAGCATTTACCGAACAGGAATGTCCACACAACGAGTCTGGTCTAACCAGAAGTGAAACTAATAGTGTTCTCCTTAAAAAAGAGTATCCACCTTAAAACTTGTGTTTTACACACGCTTCAATTCATATAAAATAAGCTGAAGTATGGACCAGTGATTTTTTTTCCAGAATTTAACACATTTTTCAAACATGTTATCAATGAAGGAACAAGGCATGCACTGTCTTGGAATGCCTACATGTGAGCACTTTGGGGGTGGCGTGCATTCCCTAGCATATATGCCTACGCGTGGACACTAAAGGTCATTTACACGTCCTGGGACGCATGTGCACATATCGGCGGTAAGAGGGTGTCGTGGGTTTCCTTGGATGTATGTGTACATGTGGGCGCTATGAGGGTGTCGTGGGTTTCCTTGGATGTATGTGTACGTGTGGGCGGTAAGAGGGTGTCATGGGTTTCCTTGGATGTATGTGTACATGTGGGCGCTATGAGGGTGTCGTGGGTTTCCTTGGATGTATGTGTACGTGTGGGCACTATGAGGGTGTCGTGGGTTTCCTTGGATGTATGTGTACATGTGGGTGCTATGAGGGTGTCGTGGGTTTCCTTGGATGTATGTGTACATGTGGGCGCTATGAGAGTGTCGTGGGTTTCCTTGGATGTATGTGTACATGTAGGCGCTATGAGGGTGTCGTGGGTTTCCTTGGATGTATGTGTGGGCGCTATGAGGGTGTCGTGGGTTTCCTTTGATGTATGTGTACATGTGGGTGCTATGAGGGTGTCGTGGGTTTCCTTGGATGTATGTGTACGTGTGGGCGCTATGAGGGTGTCATGGGTTTCCTTGAATGTATGTGTACGTGTGGGCGCTATGAGGGTGTCGTGGGTTTCCTTGGATGTATGTGTACATGTGGGTGCTATGAGAGTGTCGTGGGTTTCCTTGGATGTATGTGTACGTGTGGGCGCTATGAGGGTGTCGTGGGTTTCCTTGGATGTATGTGTACATGTGGGCAGTATGAGGATGTCGTGATTTTTTTGGGATGTATGTGTGGGCGCTATGAGGGTGTCGTGGGTTTCCATGGATGTATGTGTATATGTGGGTGCTATGAGGGTGTCGTGGGTTTCCTTGGATGTATGTGTACATGTGGGCGCTATGCGGGTGTCGTGGGTTTCCTTGGATGTATGTGTGGGCGCTATGAGGGTGCCGTGGGTTTCCTTGGATGTATGTGTGGGCGCTATGAGAGTGTCGTGGGTTTCCTTGGATGTGTATGTACATGTGGGTGCTATGAGGGTGTCGTGGGTTTCCTTGGATGTATGTGTACATGTGGGCGCTATGCGGGTGTCGTGGGTTTCCTTGGATGTATGTGTGGGCGCTATGAGGGTGTCGTGGGTTTCATTGGATGTGTATGTACATATGGGTGCTATGAGTGTGCCGTGGGTTTCCTTGGATGTATGTGTGGGCGCTATGAGAGTGTCGTGGGTTTCCTTGGATGTGTATGTACATGTGGGTGCTATGAGGGTGTCGTGGGTTTCCTTGGATGTATGTGTACGTGTGGGCGCTATGAGGGTGTCGTGGGTTTCATTTGGATGTATGTGTACATGTGGGCAGTATGAGGGTGTCGTGGTTTTTTGGGGATGTATGTGTGGGTGCTATGAGGGTGTCGTGGGTTTCCTTGGATGTATGTGTACATGTGGGTGCTATGAGGGTGGCGTGGGTTCCTTGGATGTGTGTGTACATGTGGGTGCTATGAGGGTGTCGTGGGTTTCCTTGGATGTATGTGTA